CAGAAAATGCCAGTACAAAAAATATCAAAATCCAAAAATACAAAATCCCCCAAAAATATTAAACACAAAAATTTCCAAATAATAAATACAAAATATAATACAAAAAATACCAAATACACAAACTATCAAATACACAAAAATACAAATACAAAAATAACACTAAAAAATACAATTCAAAACTAATTTCATATACATTCTGACACCTGCAAAATTGTTGAGGGCTTCTCCTACCTACACGTCACACCGTCCATACACCTGGTCAACACACACCACGACATGCACTACCTCAAGTATACTGGCGGAGGGAACACTGGCTAAGTATATACCATTATAATATGAACCCGGGTTATAATGCCGCATCCACTGTACTGTACTGTGAGAGTCAATAGTGTGTGTACCCTATAGTCTGAGGTAAACCACACACTATTATTATTATTATTATTATTATTATTATTATTATTATTATTATTATTATTATTATTATTATTGCTGTTAATTCTTCGGCGAGTTTCATTTTATTTGGAACAAACTAATACACCAAACTTCAACATACAGGATATCAATCATACAAGACCCTGGCTATTATTCCTGGAAGTATAAACCTCCTAAAACATATACAAAATGGTTTATACCCCTTCAAGTATATACCCAGTGATATATATATACCCCACCAGGTACAGTATGCATACAGACATAATGGAGTATTTCAGTAAGAGTAAACACAATAGTTCAGGACCTCAACATACTGCACATACACGAGGTTCGCTGTCTACCAGGATATCTGTCTGTACAGTAAGTGTGTAATGTGCCTCCCAGATAAGACACCCAGGCCCCTCTTTGAGACATAATCAGGCGGCTCATCCCTTGGACTAACCTTCCATTCCTCTCCCCAGTGAACCTGACACAGCAAGAGGATCACAACCCTCACCTGCTCACATGGACTAAATCCCTCTATAATACCAAGTGGACTAACGATCTTAACGCCCAGTCATCCCAGAGCACTAACTTCCTAGCGTGAGGTGGTGGAGGAGGACGAGGAGGTCAATTGCTGAGATCTGGTTTAATTCCCGAGCGTTAATCCTAAGACTAAATGATCCTGACTCGTACTAACAATAGCACGGCGAGGAACAGTACAGGTACACCCTTGTCTGGCACCTGATGGCCCTCTCCTCCTCCCTGCTACCCTGCTGAAGGAGGCACTGACGCTATTCATGCAAGGTTCCTGTGTTAGTTCTTCCTCCCCCCTCCAAGAAAGGATATGTATAAGAATCAAACAAGTTAATTTAACATACAACATTACAATGAAGACAAAAAATGGTATCGATTTTGAAGTAAGATTATAGTCATTTTTTTATCCTCTCCCGTAAAAGAAAAAAAAATACGAATTATGGAGAACCTGGACCCTGTGGTGTGGTGTCTGCAGGTGGTGTTTACTCGGGTGGGCGGCGCAGGTGTGATAAGGGGAAGGGCGCTGGTGCGGGTTCTGTCCTCACGTTGGGGGAGGGGGATATTTTTGTTAGTGGTCGTGTGGTATGGTGTGGTTGCGTGGTGGTGGTGTGGTCGTATGGTGGTGGTGTGGTGGTGGTGAGGTCGTATGGTGGTGTGGTGTGTTGTGGTGTATCGTGGTGATGTGGTCGTCTGTTGTGGTCGTCTGTTGTGGTCGTGGTGTGGTGGTTTTGGCTGTGTTAGTGTTGCAATGTGCCGTAGTGTGATCGCGGTGGTGTGGTCGTCGTGGTGTTGTGTCGTGGTGTTGTGGTGTGTGGCTCTGTGGTGTGTCGTCGGTGTTGTGGCTGTCGGGTGATGGTGTGGTCGCAGTGTGGTCCTCGTGGTGTGGTCGTCGTGGTGGTGTAGTCGTCGTGGTGGTGGTGTAGTCGTGGTGGTGTAGTCGTCGGTGTAGTAGTCGTGGGTCGCTGTATCGTCAGCCAGGCCAGGTCGTCGTGGTGGTGTGGTCGTCGTGGCAGTGGTCGCCTGCGCTGTGGTCGTCGGTGTTGTGGTCGTCGTGGTGATGGTGGTCGTCGTGGTGGTGGCCGTCGGTGTTGTGGTCGTCGTGGTGGTGGTCGGTGGTGTGGTCGTGGTGTTGTGGTCTCGTGGTGTTGTGGCTGCCGGTGATGGAAAAATGTGGTGGTGATCAATGCAGGTGTGGTCGTCGTGGTCGTGGTGGTGGTGTGGTCGTGGTGGGTGTGGCTCTCATATAAGCGTCTCTCAGCCAGGCTAACCACTACCAACATCACGGGCCGCTACTCCACATTTTCCTCGGCCAAGGTTAAAAAAAATCACCACAGATATATTCAGAGGTCACTCAGTATGTTCCTAAGCTTGGCGTGTACGGGTCTTACTAAGCTTGGCGTGTACGGGTCTTACTAAGCTTGGCGTGTACGGGTCTTACTAAGCTTGGCGTGTGCGAGTCTTACTAAGCTTGGCATGTACGGGTCTTACTAAGCTTGGCGTGTATAAATTCTTACTAAGCTTGGCGTATACGAGTCTTACTAAGTTTGGCGTCTACGAGTCTTATTAAGCTTATCGTGTGCGAGTCTTACTAAGCTTGACGTCTACGAGTCTTATTAAGCTTATCGTGGGCGAATCTTACTAAGCTTGGCGTGTACGGGTCTTACTAACCTTGGCGTGTACGAGTCTTACTAACCTTGGCGTGTACGAGTCTTACTAAGCTTATCGTGTACGACTCTTACTAAGCTTGGCGTGCACGAGTCATACTAAGCTTGGCGTGTACTAGTCTTATTAAGCTCGGCGTAAATCTTACTAAGCTTGACATGTGCAAGTCTTACTAAGCTTGGCGCGTACGAGTCTTACTAAGCTTGGCATGTACGGGCCTTACTAAGTTCGTGCACAAGATTCAAAACAGTATTATTTATAGAGCTTCCGTGCCTGAGCCAGCAGGAGGTAAGGGCAGCCTGGTGCGTGTGTTCACCGCTCCATCAGGAACACAACTTGTAATTTGATTTATGTAGAAGCTTGCTTGTATAACTCGCTGATACCTGTCACGAAAATTACTCATACCTGTCCATAGCCAATATACAAGGAATGTCTGTCGCTGTAACAATACATGTAGTTGTAACTGTACCTGTGACCATACAGGGGCTGATCCAGGGAGGGGGGGGGGTCCTGGGGCCGTACATCTCCCTTTTCACCAGAAAATTCCAATACTTGTTCTTTAACGCAGTATTGTACTCAAGCGTTTTTGTATAGTAAAATGTAATTACTATTGGCTTCAGAATATCACCTAATATTTAGTGCACATGGCTTCAAAATACTCATGATATTGGTCAGATTTTCCAAAAAATTTCTGAGGGGCTAACAGCGCCCACCCCGCAACCCCCTCAAGCTGGGTGGGCTCGCTATGTTCCCCCACCCACAACTTCTTCAACCCCCCATTTAATATTTCTGGATCCGCCCCTGCCGTACCTGTAGCTGTAACAATACCTGTAACTGTAATTGTTTCAAACCCACTTAAATATTCCCCTAATGTAAACCTGAGGAAATCGATACCTTAACTCCTGACTCTCAGATAACTTAAAAAAAAGAATTACGCCACATCATGTAGGTCAAGAGTGAGACGCCGGAACTGGATAATAAAGAAACATGTAAAGAAAGAAAGACATAGTTAAGACAGGCTCTATCAAGCACGTGCCTGAAGGAGAGGGGGAGGAAGAGCGTCCAAGATTTCCGGGGTGTAACAGGAGACGAGAGCAGCGCCAAGACCAACACGATCACCGAGGACAACAAACACTCACGACAACAACAAGCGGGTGATCATATGACCCAAGCATCACCACCATCCTTAAATGTGTGCTGCCAGGTCGGAGTACACATACATACATACATACATACATACATACATACATACATACATACATACATACATACATACACACATACATACATACATAAACAAATATTACTCACCAACAAGAATATAATACTCACATACATACAGTATACTTGAACGCAGGTATATAAATTCATACACAGGTAGCTACGTACACATACACAAACAGGAAAGAAGAAAATAAATTATAAACGGCAGAGACAAGGCTGGTGTAGACCGTGTCCCCAAGGTGGTGTCTACTGTGTACGACACTTCCCAAGACCCAGGAATCCAGCAACACAGACAGTCCCGAGAGTTAGAACCACACACACACACACACACACACACACACACACACACACACACACACACACCAATAACGACACTCGTGAACAAGCTCCTCCGAGGGGTGAGGGGTGATAATTATGAACCTCCATCATCAACACGACCTCCAGGAATCTCAGAAAAAACAACAACAAAACCGTCAGGAACTCCACAACTGATGCCTCTGTTTCTTACTTTATTTCACTCTTTCTTCTTTCACTGTCATGTGCCTTGGTGGTGTTGCGTCACCATTCATCTGCCTCAAGCCCCTCCCCCCCCCCACCACCCCACTAAAATACGCGTGAAGAGTAACACTGCCAGCACATAGCGGAGTGTGTGTGTGTGTGTGTGTGTGGTATTTCCTAGAGTAAACTGAGTAACAGATGGCCCGCAGATAATGCCAGAGGCGTCCACTCCTCAGCCAGGTGAAGCACAACGGTGATGGTTCAAGGCCAGGTACAGCCCCCACCCGACCTACACCTCCTATAGCTCAAATATTCATCTACAAAAGTGGGGAATATCATGATCATTAGGACACACTGCTAAAGTCACCCCCATGATCTAAAATGTTAATGCTAACCTAACTTAATCTAACCCAGATAACTCAGTACCCGAGGCCTAACCTAACCTATTCTAACCCAACCTACTCTCCACCCCATTTAGAGTTACGAGTGCAGAATAATCTTCATGTAATCCCCAAATAGGTTAATTCTTTCCACTAAGAGGTATCGAAACCACTCCAACCCAGTCAAGTAAACAGCAGTGACAGGTGAGGGCCCGGGTGTAAGAGATCCCGCCCCACAATTCCTACGGGTCAAATTTTCACCCCAGAACCCACATCGTTTCCACTTACAGGTGCTCCAGGTCCTAAGGCGCCAATGGTATCAATTTGGAGGTATTAACGACGAGGCCAGAGACGCCCTTCCCCCAGTGACTAGTAGCAGCAGTGGTTCAAGGCCGGGCTGGAGATGGCCACGGGTGTTCCTTCTTTCCAGGACAAACTGTAATCGGGACACGGCTTTTTAGGTTACGGTTTAGGTTAGGTTAGGTTATGGTTAGGCTACGTTATTGTTAGGTCTTGTTAAATTAGTGTTAGGGTAGTTTAGGTTAGATAATTGCTAGGTCTGGTTAGGTTAAGATATTGTTAGGTTAGGTTAGATTAGGCCGAAACTACTAGTCCTGGAGTTCGCACGTTCCATTTATGCCTTGTTCCGAAATGACCTGTAACCCCCCCACACACACACACCGTAACCTCTTCACTTCCCTCAGGTCAAACTCTCACCTCAGAAACCTCAAATTTTCCACTTACATGGAGCCAAAGGCGCTTCTTCCTCCCGAGCCAGCCTGTAGGTAAGTAACATCGGTGGTAAAAGGACAGGCTGCAGGCGGCCCCACCCAACACCACCTACAGGTCAAATTCTCACCCCAGGAACCTCATCTTCACTACTTATGTGATGCTTGAGGCTTCCACTAGGGTGCCAGTTTTGGTTGAGATTTAAATTGAAACACTTTATAAAGCCAAAATAATATGAATAAAAAGTTAGTAACAGGATCACTGACATGGCTGAACCTTTCGAGTGGTGCACCTCTCTTAAAGGGCACCTGTGTATTCGTCTCAAGAAACTGCAATGATGATTCAAGAGCAGGTAAGCAGGACCACTCCACCTCGCAAGTAACATCATCCTCACCTAAGCATCACCCGGGGCCTACAGTACTGCCCGTGGGACATAACATTATGACACCAATACTGCTGCCAAGGGCGCTCTTCCTTGGGCAAGTGTATAAGAGGCAGTTCTGAGCCAGACAGGAGACGAACCTGCCCATCTCTTCCTGACCTCGAAATACTCTTCATTTCCACACAGTCTGAGGTCTTCGATATTGGACTTTAAAGGCGCCTGAAGCCGCCAATATTGAACTTAAAGGTGCGTGAGAACTCTGGCATTAAAGTTAGAGGTGTAGGAAGCCGAGAGCAGCAAGAGGCGTCCCGTTGTGGTCGAGTTTAATATCATTAAAAACTGACATCCTTATTGAGGAACTGGTTCAAATCCTTACTAAACCGGCATCCTCACTAGACCAGCATTCTCACTAGACCGACAACCTCACTAGACCGACAACGTCACTAGACTGACAACGTCACTAGACTGACAATGTCACTAGACCGGCATCCCCACTAGACCGGCATCCTCACTAGACCGGCATCCTTACACGGCACAACACAAAGATCACTCTAATGATAACACCAAATAATATCAGTGGACGCAAGACAATACTTCCATCCTGATGATTAAGAATACAACCACTTGCTGTTTTTACACAAGCTATTAAGACAACATATCCAGGGTCTCAGTGCGAGGGCTGGTCCACGTGGTTTAAGTTGTCTGTGCGAAAAAAAAATATTTTTATTATTCGGATCACATAAAGATTAGCCCTCCTAGCTTATTTCACCTTATGGTTAATTCATCGTACTCAAGGGTAAAGTTATCGTACGCAAGTGATTCAGTGATTACATTAATAGATAAAATCATCGTACTCAAGTGGCTAAGTTATCGTAGTCAAGAGGTTTAGATGTTTCGTGTACTATACAACTACTACTACTACTACTAATAATAATAATAATAATAATACTAATACTTTAATAATACTAACTCATCATCGCATATTATACACAAACACAAAGGTGCGCCAATAACAATCCAGATGTCAACGATAATTACACAGACAGATATCATTACTGACAGCATGAAACCAGCTGTCCCCTTGAGCACTACACACACACAGGTATGAAACGCCTACCTGGCCAAATATGTCTAAATTCATTAATATTTGGTTTGGTAATAATCTATAGTTTGAGACTGGTTACAATGCACCGACTCCAATGTGTGGTATGTTTACTGCGGTTTGGCTACAGCACATAATTATAACTACATATGTGGTTTGGTTACAATATATATTAGTTATGACTATTGCGTGGTTGATTTGACTACAATGCACAATTAAGACTACAATAGTTAGTCCAGAACACATCATGTGGTTGGTTTGGCTACAACACTTCGTTAGTCCTGGCCAAATGGGGATTGGATATAAGACACAGGCAGGTAAGATGGATCATTACAATTGTCAACAGTGGCTGGTTTTTGCTGACGGGAGACAAAGAGTGATCACAGCAAATATCATCAACATACAAGATGATTTATTCATGTCCGGCTCACCAATATGACAACACGGGCATGTAAGCGTTTGTTCCACCTGTCAACAACAAGGGGAGACATTTTACAGAAGTCTTATTCTATCGTGACGAAACTGAACGGTAAATTAGATTAGTTCCTGACTTGAATCACCGGATGGAAGTAAGTGAGAATTTTACCAGGATATGTTGAAATTTACATGATTTTTTTTTTTATTATAGTTGATGAAGCATATAGAGAACAGGATGTGTTTAAGTGGTGATGTTTTCTCAAGGCTCCTCTACCTCTCTCACTACCCTCCCCCACCCCCCCCCCCTCCCAACTACAACAAGTTAGATATGTGGGAGGGAAAGGGGGGGTGGGGGTTAATGGTGATGGTAATGAAGTGACCAGGTTGGTTGTTGTTGTTGTCTTTCGTTGTCCCACATAAACACTACAGTCTGGTTGATCAAAAACATTTCTAGGAAAGATTTCAAAGGTCTCTCTCTCTCTCTCTCTCTCTCTCTCTCTCTCTCTCTCTCTCTCTCTCCTGAAGAATTTCCACTAGCAGGCCAGGGAGTTTTTTTTAATTTACAAGGAAACGTGTTGAAAGCTTAAATACCTCGGGTGTTAGGAGTTTGATCTCCTGTACTCCACAGGGTGTGTGAGGGGAGGGGAGAGGGAGGGGGGCAAAGTGTGACATTTTACTTCACACAGGACATTATCTTGGACATCAAAGGGTACATGATGCAGTTGGTGGAGAGGAACACAAGTCACCTACCAGCAGCAGCCAGGCAGAGACCCGAGGTGGGCGGCCTCTAGAGCCCAACACCCAGGTCCATGCACACACACACACACACACACACACACACACACACACACACACACAATACCGTGACTATACTGCCAGCTTCGCATCTCCTGGCTTCCACCCACTCCTCTCCACCCACCTCCACACCAACACCCTCTTCTTGTACACACTCCCCAGGGCCCACACACCGCCTCACGCTGGAGGAGTAAGACTTGGGGAGAGGAGGAGGTGGGGTGAGGAGAGGGGGTGGGGGGTGAGAGAGGGGGTGGGGTGAGGAGAGGGGGTGGGGGTGAGGAGAGTGGGGTGGGGTGAGGAGTGGGGGTGGGGTGAGGAGAGAGGGGGTAGGGGTGAGAGGGGAGAAGAGAAGGACAAAGATGTGAAAGAAGAAAAAAGAAGGAAAAAGTGAAGAGGATGACAAAGAGGATGAACGGGAGTACAATATGGATGACTAAGAAGAAAAAGAGGAGAAGGAAGAAGAGTGTAAGGAGAGAGAGCAGGAGATGGAAGAAGAAGGAGAATACGGACGAAGATTAAGAGAAGGAGGAGGAGAAGAAGGAAGAGGAAGAGGAGAAGGAAAGGGAGAAGAAGGAAGAGGAGGAGGAGGAGAAGAAGGATGAGGAGGGGAAGGAAGAAGAAGAAGAGGAGGAGGAGGCACAACCACCTCACTAAACACCAGTCTCATATCCTGCAAACATCAAGACCAACCACAACCACCTACCACCCTCCTCCTCCTACCCCCCTCTCCCCTCCCTCTCAGAAAACTGACTAAACATGAAGACTCGAATCACCTCCAGGTAGTCAACAAGAGTGGAGGGCCCGCCATCACTCACCACCACCCAGGTATGTTACGCACACACCACCACCATCATAACAACCACCATCCAACACAACCACCACCCAACACAACTACCATCATCAACCACCCAACACTAACATAATCACCACCCACTACCACAACAACCACCATCACATGCCGTTGTGGGCCATGAAATAAGGAGTAAGTATGTCGGATGAGAATTTCACTGTTAGTTCGATTTACGAGTTACGGGGAGCATAAACCGGCCAGGTGGGGGTGGAGGGGGGGAGAGGGGATGGTGGAGGTGGGGGGAGAGGGGATGGTGTGGTGGTGGAGGAGGGGGTGGTGGTGAGGGAGAGGGGTGGTGGTGAGGGAGAGGGGTGGTGGTGGTGGCCTGGCTGGGAGTGGCGAGAAAAAGCTGCTATTGCTCCTGCACCACCACCACGCCCGCTATCCTCCCCACCTCGCCCCAAGCCCGCGTTGTCCGCTGCTGCCTCGCCTCGCCTCGCCTAGCCCCAAGCCAACTGTCCCCTGCATCGCCTCGCCCCAAACCCGCTGTCCCTCGCCTCACCTCACCCCACGCCAACTGCCTTGCGCCCCACCTCACCTCGCCCCACGCCCGCTACCCCATGCCCTGGCACCTTCACCACCTTTGCTAACAAGAAACACCAAATTATATCTCCTTCCACGCCCCACTCAGCCCTTACGCCCCACCAGCCCCACGCCCCTACCAGCCCCGCGCGCCCCACCAGCCCACGCCCCACCAGCCCTGCGCCCCACCAGCCCTGCGCCCCACCAGCCCCACGCCCCACCAGCCCCGCGCCCCACCACGCCTTATCTTACCTGACCCAACATCTGCTAAACCACGCCTCAGGGCTCCTCGCCTCTAATACCACGTCTCACCCCCAGACATTCCCTTAACCACGCCTCCCCTACCCTGGCCCCACGCCCACCACCGCCACGCCCCTGCCAGACGCTTCGCTGCACTTCAAACACAACCATAAAGTACCAAGACATCCACATTACTTCCCAAGAGCTGTTCCTGATCACTACATCAAGTGTGTGTGTGTGTGTGTGTGTGTGTGTGTGTTGCTCACTTTCTTTATCTACCTCTACTTACTTTCCCTCTCTCTCTTTAATAGGTTAATTACAATGGTGCAGTTTATCTATTTATCTATCTATCTAATTTATCTATCTAAATATCTAGCACCGGTATCGCTCTATCAGGGT